ATAAAAATTGCAGGTACTGCAGTGTATGTAGGCGTAATGCCTTAATCTTTTACAATCTTCATAGTGCTGTGATTATCAATATTAAAGCCCCACTGTCCTACTTGTAGCTACATGTACTTGCTCCCTCTATATAGAAAACTTCCCCAATCGGTGCCTGTTGGTCCCCCATGATCCTCTATTTCTTATGTTATTTGAGAGCTTAGTTGATGAGATAGCCACCTGTCAGTGACCTCGCTGTGTGGTCTAATCCCTCCTAGCCACACTAGTGTTGATAAGCTTCGAAGGGCAATCCATGCCCTTGCAATATTAAAAAGTTCATTTTTATGTCTGAAATATGAGATTACTATTAAAGTCTATACAAATGTCAAATTGGCAGTTTGGTCAGTGGATTGTCACTTAGTGTCGTATAACTCTCCCATTCGTAGTTTACACAAATATCCTTTATTTCTCTTTTCTCCTAAGTGCTTTCTCGCTTGGGGCACTACTCAAAATGTGTCATTGATAGCATACATGTACATGTATATATTACCATACTTTCCTTAGTCATTAGTCATCACATCACAAAGTCATGCCCAACTCAGCCAATTTGCAGAGCCCATAACTATAATGATTACAAGTTCTTCAAAAATCATAACTTTCTCATTTTTTGTCAAATTTCATCCAAAGCTCAACAGTCTACCTCTCTGATTTTTCTGCTTTCCTCTGATTTTTCTGATTTTCTCTGAATTTTCTGCTTTGCTATCAAGGATTTTCCTTTTATAGTGTGTGGCATTGTTGAATTTGTTAGATTTATGGTTACCGGTAGTTGTCACTGAGCTGTGTGATGCATTGGTTTGATGATTTATCGCAAATTGCTACGTGATTATAAACAATGTGGTGAGACCTCCATATACTCATTAACCACAGTCTCATAAACAAACAAGTATTAAAGAGGTAATTATGTGTAATTATAATAATGCATAAATATGGTGCAGAAACTCCATACAAAATACCATATTACCAATGAGCTTTACCCAGTCTATAGACAATTGTAGACTATGAAGACCATGGGCAATTCATGTATACTGTAGGTGTACAGTGTGGTACATATAAATAGTGAATTACACGGTGTACAAATGTATATACATGAGTATAAAATGGAATGGCTTGAAGCACAGATGGGTGTACATGTATGTGTATGTGTACAAGATTCATGATTCAAGTTTTACTGTCCATAATAATAAAGAATTTGTTTGGTGAAAAGAAACAAATTCAATGAGACTTCAGCATGCCCCTGCAGCCATATTTCTAAAATCAATTTCTATAATCGCAGTGCTCTATACAATCCACTGCACTGAAAAGCCTAGTCTTCATCTATATTATTCAAGTGATTTGTAGCTCTACTCTTCTCCTTCTCTCTCTCTCTCTCTCTCTCTCTCTCTCTCTCTCTCTCTCTGACTCGATATGTCATGAATGTTAAAGTGTACCAAAACTACCAATATCCCCCCCCCCAAAAAAAAAATAGTCATCCATTCCTATTGAATCGCAGTGCTGCATACAATCCACCTAACCAAAGCCTAGTCAGTGTTCATCTTTAACATTCAAGTGATTTGTAGCTCTATACTTCTCTCTCTCTCTCTCTCTCTCTCTCTCTCTCTCTCTCCCTCCCTCTCTCTCCCATTATTTCATGAATGTTAAAGTGTACCACCCCCCACAAAAATAGCTTGTTTCATATGATACTGTATGCTGTACAAATGTAAGTATTCCAACTGAAGCACACTGTGTCATAAATAAACATTCATTAAGACAGTCGACCTGTAGGCACTCTGTGCTGTTTTCTTTCTCTTTCTCTTTCTCTTTCTCTCCCTTTCCCTACCTCCCCCCCCCCCTCCTCCTCTCTCTCTCTCATCATTCATGAATGTTAAAAATGTACCAATCCCCCCAAATAGCTAGTTCCTATGATATTGTATGCTGTTCAATCTAAAGCACACTGTGTCATATTAAGCATTTATTATAACAGTTGGACATGTAGGCTCTCTGTGCTGTTTTCATATCGCATGAACTTTGCACAGGTATGCTAGCGATGACAAGATTGCACTCCAAATCATAACACACCCTCTAGAAGCAATTAATGCTGGCATGGGTGTGTGCATGTTGCCAATTATACATTGCTGTATAGTATGTGCCCATGCACTTTACGATGTGCACTTTTAATGTTTAATTACCATTATGATAATGTGATGATTGAAATGCTCTGGAAATCATTAATTAAAATTGAGATATTAACCCTGTATCGAATTTGCACAGGTATGCTAGCGATGACAAGATTGTACTCCAAATCATAACACACCCTCTAGAAGCAATTAATGCTGGCATGGGTATGTGCATGTTGCCAATTATACATTGTTGTATAGTTTGTGCCCACGCACTTTACACTGCACTTTTAATGTTTAATTACCATTATGATAATGTGATGATTGAAATGCTGTGGAAATCATTAATTAAAATTGAGATATTAACCCTGTATCGAATTTGCACAGGTATGCTAGCGATGACAAGATTGCACTCCAAATCATAACACACTCTCTTCGAGCTATGCAGGCATGGGTATGTGCATGTTGCCAATTACAGTATACATTGTTGTATAGTATGTGCCCACGCACTTTACAATGTGCACTTTTAATGTTTAATCATCATTATGATAATGTGATGATTGAAATGCTGTGGAAATCATTAATTAGAATTGAGATATTTAACCCTGTATGGAACATACCAAAGAGATGTGGGAAATATGTCAACATTTTCCGCGGGGAAATCTTACTGATAACAAAAAACACACATCTAAATATAGAATTTCAATGAACAAGATTTCAATGCAATAATTCTAGTCAATTCAATTTAATTCGATTTTAATTCTATTCAAGGTTTATTTCAACAATCAAACATTCAGTGTCATAAAATGTTCTGCAGCCCAAGGCTGAAATGAAAGTGTTTACATTAAAGTAAAAGTGTTAGTAAAAAGTGCACTTGACATAATACATACTGTGCAGTATACTGTATGAGCACATACATGTACAGATACCAGAATAATATGATGTTTTCATGTATTAGCAATATATTTGCTAAGTAAAGATCATTGGCACTCAGTGGAAAAAATACATGGGGGTTCAGGGCGAAATAGCCCCCAAAATGCCCAAAAGAGCCCCCTTAAATTTGTATTTTGTTATTTTCATGCAGGCAAGGTTGAAAAGTAGCCCCCGAAAAATAAATATCAACTTTTTCCCTGTTGGCAATTATTTTGAACACATGGGGTTGGGGGTACTTCATTTGACTGCACCAGACAAATCATTTCAAATTCCATTTCAGAGCTGTATGCATACATGTATATAGATTACCTTATACTGCAGACAGTTTACATTATTGATCTCTTCCAAGTCAGGATTTAATTTTTAGGGCTATATTGATCACATATTGTTCTTCAATAGGCAACAATTATCCTTTTTTTTTCAATGCAACATTGTTGAAATAAACTAATGTCTCTGAAAACGATATAAGTGGGAAAAAAAATTGATGTTAAAAATTTTCAATTTTTATATAAAACAGTGATTTTGAATATCTTGATGTGTTGCCAGTTTAAGGAATTTAAATCTTATTTTCGTTTGTAAAATTCCTGGCATCAAACTCAATATAGTCATGAAACAAAAATGCAGTTGGTTCAGAAATATCAGCCCTTTCTACTTGTCATCAGTCATGTACAGTGTATCTGACATATTTGGAAAGGGCCTACTTGGAATCATCGGGTCATCGCGTCCGGTCGGGTTGTCACGTTACACGGCCTTTCGTGACACGAAAGCGGAAGATAACACAAGATTTGTATTGATTTTTTCCGTCGGAACCAGTTGATGGGTGGGTTTAGACATCCAAATTGAATATGAAAATGTACGCTAATGTCAGAACAATCAATCTCAATGACTGAATTTACACAGTTTGGACCACTTTGGTCATTTCGATCAGTGGCTAGCGTTTTGCTGCGCTGCTCTGGTTGAAAGATATCAACCAGTGAGCTAAAAAATTGGCCTGTCACGGCTTGCCAGTGGGGTTGCTATTAATTGTGAATCCACCGTGATCCCTACCTCCCTACCTACCTACAGTATAGAGTTGTACATCTCCCTTGAATGCAGTGATAAGCAATCAAGATCATTCATATTGAGGGTTCAGTGACATAAAGACGTAACTCCATATTTCGCCAAAATGATTACCGGTATTTGATATCAAAATGTTCAGAAAAATGTGGGCATTCCAGGAAACACAACGTCTTATAAACTACACCCAACACCCCATTGAAGTCAATGGCTAGTGAAACATAGACTTAACTCCTTAAGGCCCAAGTGCTCTGTGACTTTAAACCACTTTTTCTCAAAATGGCCAAAAGGGAGTTACGTCTTTATGTCACTGACTGCTCAATGGTATAGTCTGGGATCTCTCAAGCTTATTAGCGCGCTTAATAGCTCAGGCAGACGTCTTCAATTGATCCAATCTATTTACCTGCCAAGAAGCAGACGGATATTGACTCTATAAATGAATGCCCTTGTGGCTCTAAATAGATGATATAAGGTCGGAAAGGTCACTTTAAATGCATGGGTGTGAATTAGAAACAGACTCGGTGAAACTTCAATTTTAAGGTGTTTATGAACACCACATGTGCCGTAATTGCTTTAATAGGGGGAACCCCCCTTGATATGTTTATATCATGTAACCTTTTTTGTTCTTCTTTTAAATAAATGAATGCCTGTACCAAAAGACTATATGATCAAAATTATATTGCATCAATTTGTTTGTATGTCAGTAGGATAGCCTATGACATGGTCCATACATGAGTTGGTGCTATGTCAGCTGAATTTTAATAATTGTACATTTATGTACATGTATAATCAGTTTTTGAATTTTGAAAAGCTTGAAATATCATGTAAATTAAATTATTAAATGTTCTCTTTATTTTCTCTTTTTACTTCTTTATTCAGATTCCATGGACAAAGCTGAAGACACACCCAATATGTTTGGTAGGTACATGTAATCATTAATATTATTATAGATTTACAATGTAAGTGTCTATCTATCATCAGTGTTGCGGTGTTGAAGCACAGGTGGTCGACAGGTGGCCTTTGTAGACAGGTTCTGGACTCATTTTTTCCCTCCATAAGTGAGAAATACACATTGAGTGACCACTATAGACAGGTTCCTTGTTTTTGACAATTGGCCACTGTGACAGGTTTCACTGTGTAAATTGTGTGTCCAGACAGGTTGTGTCTACAAGCCTACAAGCAATCTTTCATAATTTTTCTAAGACTTACATGTATGTTGTATAATATTATAAAGGACATATTATATTTATGATGGTTTAATAGTCTATTTGATTAATATTTCGTGCTAAATCAGAAGGCAAAAGAGAATGCTTTGTGTTTGTTAAGTGTCTGGAAACCCTGATATCATGTGCAAATATTGATGGTACATGTGCTTGCAGTTATGGATATTTTAAGCACTTTGATCTTTTTATAAATGAATGAGTTTTTAATTTCTCACTGTCTGGAGATAATAGGTTGATTGATATATATCTTTTTAATCTGAAGGCAAAAGAGAATGATTTGTGTTTGCTATTGTTATTGTGTTTGTTTTTATTCAAACATTGATATCATATGCAAACACCGATAGTACACATGCTTGCAGTTATGGATAATTTAAGCATTTTTGATCTCTTATATTAATGAGTTTTTAATTTCTCACCGTCTGGAGATAATGGGTTGACACGTACACCACATGCGCCCTGTTGTTTTATCATGTCACTAATCATTAGTGAAGAACAAGCTGGTACTTGTATTAAGTATAATCATGGTCGGATCTTAAGTATGTTTGGAGCAGATCGGTTATTGGGTATGAGCATGTGCATTGTTCAACAGAGCGAAAAAAAGGTAGAGCAGTTTAGCTCTAAACATTTTGCCACAAAATCTCTACACCACCTAACAAAAAAGAAGGTAGAAGGAAAGAAAGAGAAAGAAAAAATATGTAAGAAGCTAGAATGTCTTGTGAAAATTTTGCTTTGACAATATTAACAAATTTAACATTTGCGGGTTACAAGTGTAGCACTGAATTACATTAACTGTTTTGATAAATAATTGAAATAAATGTATTTGATTGGATGTGACCAAATTTTAAAGAAATAGATACTGTTCTGGGAAAAAAAATGTCATGAAACAGCTAGGGCATGAGTTCAGTTCTTACTTGAAGAAATACTGCAGAAAGATTATCCGACTGCATACCATTTCCCGCTCTTCATTTTAAATACTAATTGAAAGTGGAGTAAAATGGGGTGTTTCGGTTTCAGGTAAGTCCTTGTTTAGGCGCTCTGTAATTCATTCCATATCCGGAGGGTATATTTTGGTGTTGGGATTTGAATGATTGTTAGAGAAAGTATTTGAGAGTATGACTATGAGTAGAAGAGGTGAGAAAGAGGAGGCAGAAGGGAGAGAGAGAGAGAAAGGGGAAGTGAAGAGAGAAAGTGGAGGGGGAGGGGAGAAGAGAGAAGAGGGGAGGGGGAGAGAGAAAGGGGGAGGGAGAAAGGGAGAGAAAGAGGAGAAAGGGGAAGGGAAGAGAGAAAGTGGAGGGGGAGGGGAGAAGAGAGAAGAGGGGAGGGGAGAGAGAAGAGGGGGGGGGGGGGGGGGGGGGGGGGGGGAGAAAGGAGAGAAAGAGGAGAAAGGGAAGGGAAAGAGAAAAGGGAAGGGGAAAGGGGACTCAGAGAGAGAAAGAGAAATGGAAATAAATGGAAAGTAGGAGAGAGAGAGAGATAAGAGAGAAAGTGTCGAAATGGGTGAGGATAGTAATATTCAGTTAGTCTAGTTAGTCTTATTCATAATCATGATATACCTAACGTACTGTAAATATAGATACATGTCAGTATGCAATATGTACACAGGTTTCATTGTACTATGTATTTTGTTCTCTCAGTACCTGGACCAGGTCGAACTAGAAATGGAGACTTGTCGGGATCTGAGGAAGACGGAGAACAAGCAAGCTCTGCAATTGTAAGTGCTTCTCTCCAGTTCAAGTTCAAGTTCAAGTTCAATTTGATTAAATTCCAATAAAAGCAATATATACAGATAAAAATCAGAAATGCAGCACAGATGCAAATAAAATACAATGTACATGGAATCGAGGGTACCTCGTTTTCTTTCTTGTCTTGCTATTTTCAACAAAATTATCTTTTTGTTTCACATGATACAAATTTATGCAGGAAATTAGAAAGATAGATGAGATATACAGCTAGATACATTTAGATTCATAATAGTCTCTTGCAAAAACAAAAGAAATCTGTAGTGAACAATAGGTTGCAGTTAAAAAGACAACATAAATCCCTACCCTCAGTACTCTACATGTATGTACCGGTATTCCATTCGGCAGCTGATTAGAATACAATGAAAGAATGATTTTGTGTACGTTTATCATAAAGAAAGATGGCATTTTTTTTTAGGAATGGTTGGCTTTATTTGTAAGTTTGAATTTACTGTAAATGAATTACCCTAGATATGCCACCATGCTCACAGACTTGTATAAAAAGAAAAATATTCAGGATTGCATTACATACAATGTTCTTTCTGTAGTATGGAATTTAAAGGTACTAAACCATTTTGAACTTTAAGTTGAAAAGACATACTTTTCACAATGAAAAACTGTCAGATATCATCACACTTTGGTTCTTTAAACTGTATAGAGTACTGAAAGTGTTGACCAAAGGAAAAGAAAATGTTTTCTTTTCAAAGCCAAAATTTCATTAACTTTCAGAGCAACTAGTAAATACGGGTTTCCAGAGAGAGTAGTGGATGGGATGTACGTACATGTGAACTCTATCATCGGCAAGTTCAAGTCGGACACCTTTCATGCTGATATACAGGTGGGTACCATGATCATAGAGGCGATGAGGCTGATTATGATGAGTGTGAGGGTGGTGATGATGATGGTCATGATCATGATGACGTCGATGGTGATGAAGATGAAAGGTGTTGATGGTGATGATGGTGAGATGGTGATGATGGTGAGAAGGTGATGTTAATGATGATGATGATGATGACGACGATGACGATGATGATGATGATGATGATGACGACGATGACGATGATGATGATGATGATGATGATGATGATGTTATGATGATGATGATGATGTTAATGATGATGATAATGACGATGATAATGATGGTGATGATGATGAAGATGATGGTGGTGGTGGTGGTGGTGGTGGTGGTGGTAGTGGTGGTGGTGGTGGTGGTGGTGATGATGATTGTAGTGGTGGTGGTGGTGGTTGTACTGATGGTGACGATGATGGTGATGACAATGAAGAGGGTGTTGATGATGGTGATGATGATGATGATGATGATCGATGGTGATGTTAATGATGAGGATGATGCTGGTGATGATAATGATGAAGAGTCAGTAGTAGATTGTTTTGTATCATAGATTTGTATTATCCTTTATTTTTATTTGGTGTATGTACCCCTTCCCCCCCCCCCTCCCCCACCTCCCCTCTTCACTCCCACCCTGCATCCACCCAACATCCATCCCATCACCCTACCTTCAGCCAACATTATCCATCACCTTTATACCAACATAGAAGGTGGCATGTTTGTGAAGCTGAAAGCCTTCTACTCATGTGTTATTCCTTTTTCACACGGCATCTCCACCTTCAACTGCCTCATGTAATTTCATCCCCACTCTCATTTAGTGCTGTAGTCAAACGTTTAACCGTCCGGTATCCGACCGCCCATGGCGGATTCCGTTTTCAATTGGACGGTTTCGTTTTCCCGTTTTTTTTTTTTTTTTTTTTTTTTTTTTTTTTTTTATAATTTTTTTTTTTTTTTTTTTTTTTTTTTTTTTTTTTTTTTTAAGTTTCGATTTATGCCCCTCCACCTGGCACTATGCCTGGCAATGTCTCCCAGCTCAGTAATCGGTGTGATGACTTACCACTTGGAAACTAGAACAACACTCCAATTTGTCTGTCATCTTGGTTTGAAAGTAATCTTTGTAATAGATCTCAATATATATTCATCCAAGTTTAACACATGGTGTACCACAAGGTCCTGTCCTAGGTCCTCTACTGTTTTTAATTTACTTTAATGATCTTACACATTATTCTAAAACGACATTGTTACTATTATTTGTGACTAGTTCACAAGCACAAATCGGCGCCTTCAGTTAAATCACCTTCCTGCTTTTTCACACGGCAAAAAAAAAAAAAAAAAAACGATTTTTTTTTTTTTTTTTTTTTTTTTTTTTTTAAATAAATCGTTTAACCGAAAACCGTCCGGTTTTGACAGGCGGTTAAACGGAATTGGAGATATCCGTGATGTTACAGCACTACTCTCATTGATCCTCATTAGCTGTGTCCACACTTCAACCTTTTGTATTTTCCAGAATGTATTACTCTGTAAGAAAACACGCGCGGCCTGTTCACACACAGCACGAAGCAAGGTTAAATACTCCATTTTTTACCCGCAATCACGATCTCACTTATTTGTGTGATTAGAAAAGTCGAACCAACATTACAAAGCAAAACAAAAAACAAACAAAAATCTCACAAATTGATGAGATGGTGTTCAAGATATCAAATTGCTATTAAATGTAATGCATTTTGGGTGAATTCGACAGTGATTCGTTCATTGTTGATTGCTGTTCATTTTGTATTTTGATGAAGGAAGCTCTTTTTTAGTACAGCCAAGGTCAGCAAAAGTGAAATGATTCATTTCATACATTCCACGTGTGAACAGGTGCATGCAAAACATAATATTTGATCCCAACCTTCACTTTTTTTCCTCTTGTGTGAATGGCCCTACAAGTATTGTGTATACCCTAGATAGACTGCTTCATGTTCATGTACATTGTAATTCCACCCCTAGCTCACCCATTGGTCCTCATTCGCTGTGTCCACACTACAGCCTTCTGAGTTTTGTATTTTCTAGATCCAATACCTCTGTCACACCAACAAGACTGACACTAGAGCAGTTATTCACAAATTCTTCATAAATACAAGTTCAACGTCTAATCATAGAAATGTGTTTCAATGGATATGTCGATGAACTTTTACTTGTGTGAAATGATGACCAGGGTGACAAAAAACTGAACAAAATATTGCAATATCCCGAATGGCAAAGAATTGCTCACTTTGGAGTTAGTGATAATATGTCTGTTAAGACAGTGTGACTGAGATGCGGTCCAATTTTCGCATACATGTATTTCTAAAGATACAAAGTAATAGATGAGATTCAGTCAGTCAGTATAACCGTTAAATTCTGGACTTTGGTTTAATTAGTGAGAATTTGACGGCTTGAAGGATTATTTTGGCGTTTTCGCATGTAGCAGCATCTAGAAAATTAAGGTCAAAGAAAAAAAGCTTCTTTACATACATGTACATGTAATGTGGGAGAAATTGGTTTCCTATTTAAAAATTTGGCTCACTATTGCAGAAGTGTCTTCCGTTCAAATGTTGTAAGTACATGTATTAAAGCAAGACGGGAGTAACATTAAACTGGGTTGCTATTGATTGTATGCTGATTGCTTTAATAGTCTGACATCACAGACCTATTACATGTATGATAATGGTGAACATGGCGGCATAATGCTGCTTGTCTGTAAAATATCCATATTGATGACAACCCAATACATCTCTGGATGATGTACCACAGATGACCAAAGAAGTCTTTTAAAATCAATTGTCCACATTTCCCCGGAAAAGTTTATTTCTATTATACACACACTTATTTCTGTTTCAGTTTCAGTTTAGTTTATTCATTTAATAAAAATTACAAGAACACATACATTTGCAAATATTTAGTACTGTACATGTACATAACATAAAAATCTTTCACTAGAATATACATACACTGTACATGTACATGTAAGTACATTAAAATTGTAAAACATTAATGGATAAAGGGAAGTTATCAAAAGCCATATAAATGAGTTTTTCGAGATATCCCCTCAAAAAGTAATTAAACAAAATGTAATGAACATAATAAAGATTTGAATTTACATGTACATGTTTATGTACATATGTATGTGCTTTTGATGATTTACATGTACTTAAGTGTACATTAAGGTCTGCAACACTGAACTAAGTAATTTAGGACGAGATGGTAGTCAAATTCCATGTGCAGAAGCTCACAATTCCCTGACACCACATTTGGTGGAAATACCATTAATGGGTGTACAGAATAGGAATATTGACATTACAAAACACGTCCCTGGTGAGCTAATGCATTTCGTTCAAATGTCCCCCTGGATGCATTTACATATCTCTTTGTCTCTATCTCGTGTCTTGTCTTTGTCCACGATGTTAGCAAATGGAAAAGAAGTCAAGATTCGACCTAGAAAATCCTTTTAGGTACTTCTGATCGAATAACATCCTTAGCTCCTTTCTATCTCATGCAGTGCATAATTTGTAAAATCACTTTTTTCTTATCTTTCAAAAGTGTTGCTGTTACTTTTAGTGCTCCTCGTTACCTTATACTATTTTTCATCATTTGTTTTCTCTGTCTTGTATTTTTTTGTCTTTTCTCTTCTTTCCTTCCTTGCTGTACCGGTACTCCTTTTCTTACATATTTCTTCTCTTTTCTTCCTCTTTTTGTTCTCCTTATTTGTCTTCTTTTTTTTATACCAGCTTCTACTCCAACTAGTTATTTCTATTTCACCTTCAGTCCTTGGACTGTTTTTCTCTGCATTGCTCTTTCTTCTTCTCTTTCTGCTTCATCCCTTGCTCTTCTTTGTCTTCTTATTTTGTGTCTTCAAGCTTCTTTATCATCTTCATTCTCTTCTCCTTTTTCCTCCTCCTTCTCCTTCTTTTCCTCCTCCTTTTCCTCCTCTTCCTCCTCCTTTTCCTCCTCTTCCTTTTCCTCTTCCTCCTCCTCCTCCTCCTCCTCCTCCTCCTCCTCCTCCTCCTCCTCCTCCTCCTCGTCCTCCTTCTTCTCCTCTTCCCCCTCCTCCTCCACCTCCTCTTCTTCTTCTTCTTTCTTCTGCTTCTTGATTTTCCTCCTCTTCTTGTTCTTGTTCTTCTTTTTTTGATTTTCCTCCTCTTTCTCCTCCTTCTCCTTCTCCTTCTTCTTCAACCTTCTAATGCAATTGCTCCTCTCCCTCATTTGCTGTTTCATCTTTCATGGTTTCAGGCAATCATTCAGAATACATACAACCATTGTCATGTTGTTTGGCTGTATAAGAATAGACGCTGATATCGCCATGCCCTTGAAAGCACTGTTAAGTGGAAATTTGAAACGCACTAACCGGGTGCTAGACAAATGGGAACATGAGAAGCACAGTATACATGTCATAGACCTATAATGCTGTAAGGCTATGAACCTCGTTCAGATATGACTCTGTAAACGGCAGCGCTTTAATAAAAAATATAACGGCATAAGTGCAACACTTTACATTGCTGTATCTTATGTAAGACGGAGCTCAGTTGATACACCTAGGACCTCTATTGCGCAGTTGCCATTCATAGATTTACATGTTTTAAAGCCCCTATGCACTATTTTGGCCAGGAGGGATTCAACCTCCCTGCATTGTCACTGGTAGGTGGTTATCTCATCAAATCAGCTCTCAATTGACATCAGAAAAAGGGGACCATGGGGGACCAACGGGTACCGCTTAGGCATAGTTTGCTATATAGAGGGTGCAAGTACAGTTGTAGCTACAAGTAGTGCAGTGGGGCTTTAATAGAAACCGCCACGGTTTACCACTTCATATCTGAACGAACCTTTACAAAGAATCATGAGAGAGAGAGTAGTTAGAACATGGAGGCCTATAACACCACCATGGCAGCCTTGCTAAATCCATGTTAATGATTGTGAAGTGCCAGGAGTGTCAACTTTGACAGACATGAGCGCTGTACAAGAACCCACTATCATTATTATTATTAATAGGAATAAAGAAAGCTTCTTCTGTTGTTCCAATGTCATTCTCACAGTAGCCCATTCACACTGTCATCATTAATTTAAGTTCTAGTGTGAATGGGCCTACTGGCATTCATAGCTTTCCAGTGTTTATTTCCCTTGAACTATTAAAGAGAGAAGGAGAGGTAATGTACAAGGGAAAATGATTTTAGAGTTTTCTCATTCTTTTCACTCCTAAACAGGTACATGAATCTCTAACATCAATATGCAATTTTACAACAACAGGATTGCTTTTGAAATATTCTATTTCCCAAAATGACATCGTTAATTTCATACATTTTTGATGTCACATCTTTGTAATGTCCCAAATTCTGTTATGTGCACTGCTTTTCAATGTAACTGAGCAAAATTTGGTCACTTTTTTTGTACAACTTGAATGATTCCAAAACCTCTTGACAGTCGCACGTCCTTGAACTGGTACTTGATACCAATGCAACTATTCAGAAACTCACACTAGACAGTTTCTTTCCAAAGGTCATTGAATGACTATGCATTCACATTATCAATAGATAATGGTCGGTCTCTTATTTTCCTTTCTTCTAAATTTATGTATATATGCCTAGTAATTAAGTTTTTATTTATTTTGCTATTAAATTTGATTTGTACTGTACAAGCACAAGTTGCTTCTTAGAGGTCCGGCCTAATATTTATTATGTATTTATGACTTGTATTCTTTTTTCATGATGCCAAATAGACAGAAATTGAAACTCATTATTGATTTATAATCACCATTATTCTTTGCCTTTTAGATTGCTCAGCTTATTGTGCAGAGCACGACCCCAGACTGGAAGCCAGCAGACCTGAGATACTCCAGGATAAAAGACATGAACAGAGGACAAGTTCTTACCTTCAAAGCAGTGGAATGGTCCACGTTTAGACTGACTGTAGATGCAATAGAGAAGGGATCGGGCTCACCCACTACACCAATTAGGTTAATCACAAATCAGGGAAAGGTAAATATTCAAAAAAGTTTTTACCTAAAAAGTAATGGAATGGTCCACTTTTAGACTCACAGTAGATGCAATAGAGAAAGGATCGGGCTCTCCCACTACGCCAATTAGGTTAATCACAAATCAGGGAAAGGTAAATATTCAAAAAAGTTCTTGCCTACAAGGCAATGGAATGGTCCACTTTTAGACTGACAGTAGGATCGGGCTCTCCCACTACGCCAATTAGGTGGATCACAAATCAGGGAAAGGTAAATATTCAAAAAAATTCTTACCTAAAAAGTAATGGAATGGTCCACTTTCAGACTGACAGTAGATGCAATAGAGAAAGGATCGGGCTCCCCCACTACGCCAATTAGGTGGATCACAAATCAGGGAAAGGTAAGTTATTCAGAAAAATTCTTACCTATGAAGCAGTGGAATGGTCCACGTTCAGACTGACAGTAGATGCAATAGAGAAAGGATTGGGCTCTCCCACTACGGCAATTAGGTTAATCACAAATCAGGGAAAGGTCAATATTCAAAATAGTTCTTACCTAAAAGTAATGGAATGGTCCACATTTAGACCGACAGTAGATGCAATAGAAAAAGGATCGGGCTATCCCACTACGCCAATTACATGTAGGTTAATCACAAATCAGGGAAAGGTAAATTATTTTTAAAAGTTCTCACCTACATTATTACCCTGTTTATAGCTGAGCTGTAACTGTAACTGTAACTAAAGTAACTAGTGCTCAAGCATTTCAGATACCTAGGCGTTGATGGAGAGTGACACATGTAGATTAACGTCTTGGCAAAGGACGTTTGTGTCACGCTGGGATTCAAACCCGCAACCTTACGATTGAGAGTCCAGTGACTGAACCACTATACCACAACACCTGTGGGACATTTAATTCTACGACCTTCATAAACCCATCTAATTTCATCCCTCAGATCTGTATCACCATCAAGAAGAGACTCAACGACTGTTCGCTGGTGACGTCCAGACTCCAAGTGCTTCTGGATGACATCCTCTGGGTTCTCACAGACTCCCAGATCAAGGCCAGCATGCTTCACATGCGCAGTCTCAACCCAGTCATACAGAAAGCAGCAGCCCAGAGCAAAGTACATGCCGAAGCAGCAGGAGAAGTATGAAAATCATGTTATTATAATACCGCAGGTCAAAACAGGGGAGTGTTTCACAAAGAATAGGAGCGACTTTAAGTTGGACTTAACTATGGCAGGCCATTCATGCCACTAGTTGCTCTCACCATTATGTCTGTTAGATAGTATTTTTTCCTTCAATAATGATCTATCAAAAAAGGTAAATTCTGTAGATTTGCACGTCCCATAAGAGACCAATGCCAGAAAATGGTGAGAGCAAACAGTGGCATGAACGGCCTGCCATAGTTAAGTCCAACTTAAAGTTGATCTTAGTCATTGTGAAACACTCCCCTGTTCTTTGTAACGACCCTGCAGTCAGTACTACCCCAGCATGGCAAAAAACCCATGCAATACGCCTGGGTCAAGAGCTAGAAGGACCACTACTCTTGTATGAGAGTGAAGATACTTCACCAATATTCATCAAGCTCCCCTTGATGTCCCCTGAAATCCTGTTGATGTTGTGTCTACACATTTAGATTGTAATAATTGCAGTGGCTGACAATAAGGATGATTATTATAGTTTAGCATGAGTTTTTATAAATTTACTCACATTTTCATAGAAAACAGAATAGGAAAAAATAGTACCATCTTCCACGATTCCATTGCAAGAATTCTTAGAGAAATTAAAATATACTTGAACTTGAAAGCTCAATTATTAAGTCATAATTTATCATTGGAATTTGAGTACAAAATTTATTATGAGTTGTAGAGTGGTGGGTAAATTAATGTTTAATGCCTGAAAACTTGTTTTCATTGAAATTAAAGGTGAACACTGGTATCTTTCCAACCCCTAAGTTGTTAATCAAAATTTCCCATCATCTTTCCCAACCTGCCATCTTGTCGCAGGCTGTGAGCACCCCACATCCTACAGAAGACCCTGCAAACAGGCCTCAGAACGTCAAAACATCCAAGGAACTCCAGCTGCTGCAGTTCTTTGAGCGCTACGACGTCCCCGAGACATCCTACCACTTCTTCACCAAGAGAGTCGACCTTCACCTCTGTGATGAAATGAATCGACCCGAAACTGGTATGTACGTGGAACAAAACGGAATAGTCCATTTACTAAAAAGGGTTTTTGTGGCATATAAAATAGCCGATTAGGAAATGATACAACTGACAAGTGAGTTGATTTCTACCTCTGTGATGAAATGAATCGTCCCGAAACTGGTATGTATGTGTCACAGAATGGAATAGTCCATTCACTAAAAAGGGGTTTTTGTGGCATATAAAATAGCCGAACAGGGAATGGTACAACTGACAAGTTAGTTGATTTCCACCTCTGTGATGAAATGAATCGTCCCGAAACTGGTATGTCTGTGTAACAGAACGGAATAGTCCATTCACTGAAAAGGGGGTTTGGTGTGATAAGATTTAAACAAAAGAATGCCCAACATGAGTTGATCTTCATCTCTGCTATGAAATGAATTGCCCCCAAATTGGTATGTACATGTATGTGTAACAGAACGGAATAGTCCATTCATCGAAAAAGGAATTTTTAAAAAACTTGCTATAATCCTTGCTCTGGCTTGCAACAAGTACTGCTAACATGAAATGAAAAAGAAAAAACACAAAGAAAAAAAAGGCTTGAATTTGTTTTCTGTAGCTGACGTCTTCACTAACCAACCGCCATATCATCACGTAATGATGTTTTGTTTTGTGCCTTTGCAGTAATATAGTCTTGCGCTCAATCACGTGCTTCTATCATAACACTGTTAATATATGAGTCTTCATATTAACATATAATATTCTTCTTTTCAAAAAGAAATTAAGTTACGCAAGCTTTTAATTACTTTGATTCACATGACATTTTATTTCATATGAGTGGATTCAATAGCTATCATTTCTTTCACAAATATTTCTTGTGGGTATTTATGAATTCATTTTGTTGGGTTTTTGGTGGAGGTGTTCATTTCTTTGTGTCTTGACTTTTCAGTCCTTTTTGTTTCTCATTTTGTTTTCACCATTCATTTCAACATCATTCAGACAAGAATTCAGCAAAAGGTATTAAGTCATTGCAAATTGGATGCACTGTGTTTGCTGTGATGGTTTTATTACTCTTGTTTTTGTTGTTGTTACTGTGTTTCACATTGTTGACCCATCACCTTTTAACCTTTGACCTCACTTGACAGTGTTAGTAATGACCTCTCACATGTCAATATCTTATTACTAGAAAGAGATAGTCATCTTTATTCTCTGATAATCAAGCATGCAGTTGAATAGGGATTACGTATGGAGAGTTCACTTCCAAAACCTCCTGCGTGTAGATCAAATTTGTGTTCAATTTTGTCTTTACTGATTTCAGAAACCTCAAAAAACTATTCACTACTACCAAAACAATTCTTGTATGAGAAAAATATAACATACATTCACAAGAAAATGAGCCCCCTCCTCCCCCCCCCCCCCGCATTAATTGAATTAAATCCATATGTTTTCAAAACGGGTTACATTTTAATAAACAATGGTCTTCTAGGGAACTGACTAATCACATAGCAGCATGAAATGCATGAATAGTCACATATTTGCCCTCGGTTGCTTGAACAAAAGGAACTAGTTTGCACAGACCAGTGTAATGACGGTGACTCCAGATATTTCTACAAAAACATGTTCAATTCTCATACACCTACTTCAAAGTTTAGTCAAAATTTAGTTCATCAAAAATATATAGCTTTTACTATTCTACAAACTGAGATAATTGAAGAAAAAATGCTTGTTTTATGAGTATCTGACATATATTGTGAAAAAAATACTTGTGATGTGAACTACCCTTTTGCAATGTGTGCCCATACTTGTATGTATGTATGTAACCAATCTGTAGTGTGGAGTTGCCTACTACATGTAGCTTGTATCGAGAATGGATTTGTTCGATGTAGCCTAGACTAGAATAGATACAGTCAAACTTGTCTATTAAGGCCACCCAAGGGAAACACAAAAAGTGTTTGAAAAGGTGAACTTTTAAAATAGGTCCTTCAACACACATTTCCTTCTCCAGTTTGAGCCAATAAACAGTTAACCAAATTATTCACACCCTTACCAAGTTTTGTAATTTATTTGTTAAGTATGTGAAAAATGAATTTGTCCCAATTTATGTTTCTTGAGAATGTGACAATATAAAAGTTTACATCTAAAAGTATTCAACAAAGGCCCTACCTAATTCTACCAGTTCACCTTTCATGCTTGAGTTACAAAAAACATCTAATTTACAACAGGTATGAATAATTTAGTTGTTATCTGTAGGTGGCCTTTATTGAGGGTGGCCATTGGGACAGGTTTGACTGTAGCTGCATGTGATATTTTAACTTTGCATAAAAAATCACCTCTCTTGTAACCCAGTAGAGTAGATGTACATGTTTTGTATTCATTTAAAATATGATCAAGCAATGCAATTGACATGCATGTATGTGATTTGTAATCGACAGGATAGGGTGAGAAATTCATGTTGTAAAACTATGTTCTGTATTATATAAATTATATTTATAAAAACATAGACCTACAGAACACTTTGGAACCAGATTGTAACCAGATTGTAACTAGATGGTACCACTGCACACATCAATGAATGTTTCATCCTTCGACTTTTATTTGATTATTTGTGTGTAAGCACCACATGAAGTTTGTTTGCCTTTGCATTAAAAACATTTGTTTTCTCTTTGTTCTTTGTTTGTTTTTTGCTTATTGTTTCTACCGGTATACAAATTGACATACTAGTACATGTAAGGAGCATGTAGCATTGTTGATTGGCAGTGGAGGAACAGAATGCCTCTTGGTAGAATGGCTGCTATGGCGATTAAAGAACAATGTTTTGTTTTTGAAGGGGATAAATGAAAATGATTTATTATTATTGTTAAAGGTACTATGTCCCATTTGCAGGCCAAAAAAATGAAAAAGTTAAATTCCAACTGCATTTGAAAGATAATTCTAATTTAGAACTTCCCTAAAAAAGGTGGGGCTTGAAAATGTCTTCAAGTGGGGAAATAACGACTATTAGTTGTCAAATCGACTTTAGGGCTATAGAGCCCAAAAGTAATAGTCTTGATTTTCAGACAATTGTACCGAATGGTCATACGTTTTATGCTGCGCAAAGATTCAATCAGTTTAATCTTGGCCATCACAAGAAGTGGGTTATTGATGTAGACAAATGCTTATGTACCCCTTTACAACTCTTCTCATGTATGTTATTACCAAAGAAGAAAAAAAGCCAGTCAGTCACTCAATAGTGTCTGACGGTGAAGTCTAGCAAGTAAACGGGTTTCTTTGCATAATTTGAATATGAGGACACTGCTAACGTTTAAATTTCACAGATAGGACATACATGACATATTCATAATTCCTGCAAATTTCTACGTACTTTGAGGTTGGCTGCAAAAGGGACATAGTACCTTTAATGTTATTATAATTGTTACTGTCATTACTATTGTTAATATTATTAAAATGTCCTTCATTTGAGGAGAGCCAGCTTATCATCATGGCACAACAATACACTAAGCTACCTCCTATGTTAATGCAAATATTAGAAGCCATTTAACATTGTGGATATACCAATGAGGTGAGTAATTCATTCTTATATTTTACATGCAATTGTAATATGCCAGCAATGCAATCAAATCACTATTCACTTAGTCTTCACTGTGAAAGTTATATGCACAGTACTACATTGTAGTTTTCATTCTGAATGATAAATGTCTATTTTTTTCTCACCTCTTAGAATCGTTCAAAAGGAGAATAGAAGGAGGTGCTATGCAGATCTCTTTTACCGGTGTTTCGTTTGACTACTACCCTTACCATATAGCAAGTAAGTCAGAAAATTTATCTCATATGATTTTGGATTTAGAATTCTTTTAACACCACTTTCATATTCACTGCTGAAGAGGGTTATGTCCACACTCAGCCCAGAGTAATTTGTCATATAGGACAGGCATGTGTTTTCCATGACATGCATGACTGCATGTTGCTGAACAACATCCCTTGGCATAGTCTTTCTCTTAAAAGTATCCCAGGTACTCCAATTTAGGTGGGGGGGGGGGGGGGGGGGGGGGGGGGGGGGAACTTAAATCTTGTCACCTATAATGAGAAAAATGAAATATTCATGAGACATAACGTCACTGAACACCAGGTTCCTCAAAGTTGGGCAGTGTACTTATTGAACGTCCCTTCATAATTTATACATCTACCTCTACTGTATACATTAAAACATGTAACACTCTTTTCCATTTGAAACATGTTTGTTTTGCAGGTAGTCCTCGAACCCATTGGCAATACTTTGATGATGCGATGAGCCTCTCCGATAAATGGATCCACACCGTCCTTGCCCACTTCAAGCAACAGTACGCCATGGCACGCAACGAACTCAAGAAACGGACAGCCCCGCCCACTCATCCAGCCACACCCCCTCCCCACCCTCCACATACAAAGCTGACCACGCCCCCTGCGCGCCCGGCCACACCCCCAACCAGGACTCAATCGCAAATGGGCAGAGAGCGCACGTCAAGCGCTAGCCACGGTCGCCCACCGGGACGCCCAGGGGGTACAGCGGCCCCACCCCATGGTCAACCACGATCCGGTGCTATGCCCGGTCAAACAAGCAGGACATCGGTCAAGCTAATGTCCAGTTGTCTAGTGTTTAGGATACGAGCGTTGCAGCTGAGTAACGTCGCGACGTCGGACCGGGGTGCAAACAACGAGGAAAACCTGCGCAATAATCTGTTCTTGATGTCGGACAAGAACACGTTCCACTTACCCCCTGAGATACCGTCCATACATGTAGAGTACATGTCTTTCTACTTCCCCAATGAACTTGACTTCCCTGGTAAGTGTTCACCCGTTGGCTCTGGACCACTCTGATCCCCATAGGCTTAATTACAGGGACCATCTGGACCCCATTTCACAAAACTTGTCATCAGTGACAAATGACAGTTTTTGTTATAAGCTACTGAAATCCTTTCTTCTGATTGGATATCAGCAGATTTGTCACCAACTTTTGTCATTTGTCATTGAAAAAAGGCTTTGTGAAACACCCCCCTGGTCCCTCTAAGCAATGTGTTTATTAAGGCCTTTTCAGATGCTTAAAATAAGAAAATTGAATGGAATAATTGTACTTCTCGTTTCTGTATCGTATAAGATATTGCTGGTGTGGAACTAACCCAAGTTTAAAATGAGTTTCAACGTCCTATTAGACTGAGTTTTGTATAAAATATTTCTTCACCCTTTCACAATTTTTCATGCTGTCATTGATAATCATCATCAATCATTATTGCAGAAGTGTTGCTTTGAACCTTAATGAAAGGCTACTGTTTCTGCGTGTAGTTGTTGTAGTCTTGTGGTTTAAGCACTTGACTTGAAATGCAAAGGTCGTGGGTTCGATTCCGGACACGGCACTAATATCCTTTGGCAATTAATCTTCATTTGCCACACCATACCCAGGAGAGATATGGGGGCCTGGTAGGATGAAGAAAGCCTTTGTGTTAGTAATTGCCATATGCCTTCATGATGACCATATGGTAGAACCTCCGCATGGAGTTGAGATGGTGCACTTTGTGCGTGAATGAATACATGTAAATCGCTTAGAGACAGTATTTGGTATTAAGCGCTATGTAAATCCAGATTATTAAAACAGCAGCAGAGTTTCAATCAATAAGCCAGTTCACATAGTTGCAGTCTGAGCATGAGCAGATAAAAGTTATTGCAGACCAAATTGTGAAATACACGGAGAAAAAATACTGGATACGTGCTCATGAAAGTTATGTAATCATTATTCATTTATGCACAAGCAGTGCACTTCATGATACACAGATGGAAGTATTCTTTGAAAAGGGGAGACAAAGGCTATTTATGTCGAACCTCCATCGCTGTAGGAGTGATTATTTCAAAATGTACAAAGTGGGACCTCTTCATGTTTTGAAGATCTGTGCATATTTGGGGTCATTTGGGACATGTGCTAAACGTGATTGGTCTATTGCTTGTGTTTCTCTTCATCAGTGCCAGCCCCAGTGATCTATGCCCAGATCAACCCTATGCAGCTCAGATTGGACAATACAACACTACTATGGCTCAACCAGTTTGCATTCAATGTCATGCAGACATTAGTAAGTATTACATGTATATCCCTTATAGTAAGATGGTTGCATTAGGAGTGTACACAACAAGGAAAAGAATAGTTTTACCAGTAAAGAAGTTTCCTGCCGAAAAGTGCATTTTTTATTGCTAACGTCACAAATAGTTCACCTTTCCTGGGAAAAAGTGAACTATTTGTTTTCCTGCCCCCCCCCCCTAAACTGGCGAAATTCAGCAAGTGTGCAGGATTTCACATGCTTCCACACGGGCAACTCCCGCGGTGTCACTCCCGCGCTCACGCCGTGCAATTTACGCTGAGCTGCAGTACCTGTATAGCGCCAGCTAGCGCCAGCTAAACATAAGTACACCCTTCAATGTTTTCATTTGGGCCGTGCAATTTTCTTTTATTTCTTTTTTGAATGTGATGTGAATGTGAGAATGGTTAATGATATTAGAGAAGTGTCCAAGGAATGATACAGGTGGAAGGAATATAAAAAACAAATATACAAGACTCATTCTTGGAACAAGATAAAGCTATTCACACTCAGGAACATCAATAGTACTATTCTTCTGAGACAAAGATCCCTAGAATGTTGTCTATAAAGAAAAAGATGTTGTATCAAATGTACTATGGTAATGTGTTTTATACTTGCATTGCAGCCTGAAATAGACGAGATAGCTCCAGCTTCTCAGACGAGCACGGGACAGGATCACATTGACATTAGAGTAGATGCACTTATGCAGAAGGTAAGGCGCCCTCTATTTATCATTGCTAAACCAGAAACTTTAGGGAAATTAGTAACGATTGCTGTTTTGTCTCAAGAACTTTTACAAATTGCGAAAATCCAATGTTGTGATTCATTTTGTTTGGAACACTGAACTTTGATGACTCGTTAAATCTTGAAAGTTTAAAATGTCTGTTTTTACTCCAAGTTATACCTGGCAATTGGTGTTGTGTTATGTATTATATATTTTATTTTTGAGGGGGGGGGTGGAGGGAATGGTCATTCTTTATTTGAGAGGATCATATACATGTATGCTTAGGCCACTTAGTGTTGAAGACAAAACATAGCCAAACCTTACACAGATTCATCAACTGTCTTCCTTTTGCTATTCAGGTACTGATCCCTGTTCCAGATCCTGTCGCCAACCAACCAGACCGGCCCAAGATCCTCCAGGTCCAGGTCTCGCAGGTGACTGCAACCAACTGCCGCGTCGGGACGAACTCCTCCAGACCAGACCTATCGAAGGTCCTGCAGAAGTTCCAGGGAGTCCAGCTCTTCCACACCACGACGTTCCCGAGCAACAAGACCGACTTGCAGACGTTGCCTGCCAAGTTCTGGAAGCACGCTTACGAACCCAACTTCCTCCTCCCTCCAGGGATGCAGGAAGATGAAAAGAAAGATTCCATTCACAAGAATGGAACGCCTCCTCAGATGAGGGACGTGTCGGAACATTCTAAACCATTGCAGGATGTCAAGATGAAAACGTATACCTTCAGACCGAACGCGTCCGACGATGTCTGGGGCATCAAGGTCGATCAAGTGTGGGCGGACTTCGTCGGGGTGCCCAGCTCCCCAGACAGGCCGGTGCCATTCATCCAGCCACTGCCACTCGGCTTGTGGATGTGCTCAGCCAATAGCAATACATCGTTAGAGTCACTTGACCAAGTCTCCGGGAGTAGCCCGTCTCTTGCCAATATGCACTTGGTTGTAGATACGCCCTCGTTTGTGGACATCACCATCAACCACTATCAGCTTCTGTTCCTTCTTAGACTCCAGCAATCCTTACAACTCCTCTCCTCAAACATGGAACTAGACCAAAACCTCTTCGCCAAAGATGAACCTCAGGAGGCGATGCCTTCCATCGCAAGTCGCGTGATCTCGGTAGTCTTCCCTAGTATCCATGTAACCCTTCTCGGACCCCCATCGTCAGTTACAGACAAACAGGAGGATGAGACGACGTCGGTCAGCGATTTGACCAATCTCAAGGATGATGGGAAGGTAGAGGACAGTAGTCAGGACGCAGAAGCCGATAGTGGTGGTAACGTAGAAGAATCGTCTGTCATTCAGAAGACAGAGCTATCAGATTTAGATCAGAGCAGCTCTGAAGTCGTTACGGACTCCTCGTCACCGACGTCAGACTCGGTTGATCTCGAGCATGACGTCAAGAATGGTATATGCATTAGTGTTGTGAATGGAGATGGGGTTCATGGTTTGGATAGGAGTGATATCAAAGCGTTGAAACTTGATGGACCACCAGGTGCAGTGGTCATCACTGGAGCAACGCCCAACGGCAACGGTCATACTCACACCTCGCTTTTTAATAACAATGAACCAGTAGCAATAGGTACGACTGCGCATCCTGTGGGCCAAGGACAGGCCCCAAGGAAGAACAACTCCGCCTCTGAGCTGACCCAGTCCGGGAGCGTATCCTCAGAGACCAGCGGAGGCTCCTTGTCCAATCTCTCGGGAAGCCTCCCTAAGAGCAACAGCCAGAACTCCATCACTGTCCAGATGAACGCCCTCATGTCGGCCAACTCCATGGGATCGCTGGACGAGCAAGGCATGGACTTTGAGACGATATCTGTGAGCAGTGATTCCAGCGAAGGATTCACCATGGTGACCCAAGGCTCTAGGCTAGGAAGCACTGCGGACATCGAGTCAGAGAGTGGTTTAGGTGAGATGCCTGTTCTCACCATCAACTATTGATGTTGTAACACAGTTTTATGGGATGCTCACAGTTTTGTTTTCCCAAAGCACCCCAAATTTTGATATCACTGTTGATGTTGTAACACGGTTTTACATGAGGATCCAAGATTTGTTTTTTCCCAAAGCACCCCAAATTTTGATATCACCGATTTATGTTTTCCGAAACACCCGTAAAGCCTCCTTCAGATATGATGGGGTAAACCGGGGCGGGTTTTTAAAATTACAAAAGTGTAATATGCTTCTCATTTCTGCATAACAGGACGAGTAAGGCATGGGCTTTAAAGGGATCGTTTAACAATGTTAAATCTGAGATGCACGGCCCTACGTGTTATCAGTGTCTGTGAAATGGTGTAATATTGAAGCCCTAAAAAAATTGCGCTTCACAATGATCAAGAAGTTCCTCAAAAAAGTAAAAATCTTTGAGTGACTGGTTTTACCATACTCGCTTTCCCGAATAGACTGTAGTGTTATGAAAAATATCTTGATAATCAGACAGGCGATCGGCTTGTGAAAGTCATGGGGTTCCTGACTGACCTAAAGGTTTATAGTTATCATTGCAGCATGAGCTAATTCCAGGATTTTCAGAATCTGAGACAAAGTTACCGGATCCCTTAAAGACAATATCTGTGAGCAGTGATTCCAGCAATTCCAGTGAATATGCGTTGGCTCTTTGTTGCTAGCACTTGCCATTCATTTACACGTTATAAAAATGAACTTCATGTTTTACCACTTCTAATCTGAACGAGCCCTAAGTTTTTAGTGTTAAATATTGTGGGTCTGGTTGCAAAAGTATCCCTTAGCAATTATGAAAGACCTGGGCCTTGTTGCATGAAGCTTAGAAACAGTAACGACTACAACAATTCTGTAACATATCTGCGCACAGCCAATCAAATGCCAAGATGTTAGTAGCTTATGTTAATGATTGACATTTATTATTGATAGTAAGATTTATGACAGAGGGCTCTGAAGTTGTGTTGCTGGCGCAAGCACCCATGATGTTTTACTCTAATTTATTTTTATTCTGTGTTTTGTTACAGGGAGTGAGTTTTCTCAGTCACTGTCAACGATCGATGTACCACAGGACAGCGCTCTTACTTCATCACCTAATCTTCTACCAGGTATGTCTATTATTCATTGTCACCATGTAGAGACATCATTCTCTCTCTCTCTCTCTCTCTATCTCTGTCTCTCTGTCTGTCTCTCACCCTTCTCTTTCTAACACCCCCTCTCCTAAAACTTCTTTTACTTTTTTTTCTCTCTCTCCCTCTTTCTCTTTATTGGTCTGCCTGTCTGTCTCTCTCACTCCTCTTTTTCTCACACTCCCTCTCCTACAACTTCTTTTACTTTTTCACTCTCTCTCTCTCTCTCTCTTTCCCTCTAACTCTCTTAAACAAATACACGCTCTCTCCCGTGGCCATCTAACCTGGACTTATTTTGCATCTTCCCTTTGTTTTTGCACAATATACCTGTATGTGATATTGACTTACTTGACTTGGGTGCCTAGGACGGTGTGTCCCCTTGCTCCCCTACGAGAAATCATGCTCCATTCTGATTTGTCCTTGGCTTGTTGCTCTGCCTCTTGTGTGGGTAATATCACATTGCACTGTACTTAGTTCTTCCATCTCGTTGGAGGGCGTCTACGAGATCTGCATGCATTTGATGTGATATTACAATTAATAATATCTTTTGACAATCACACCCAGGTTCAACATCGACAGTTAACAGTAGCACAGACTCTGTACCCTCCCCCGATGCCAAGGCTAAAGTGGATGACTTTGAAGGGTGCATCCACAAGCTGCGGCAGATCTCCGTCCTGACCTTTGACCTGCACGGTGTCAGTGCGGTGCTTCAGATGTGCAATAAGAACGTGGTCCTGAGGGCAGCCGTCTTGGATATCAATAAGGAGGAGAAGGGCAACACCGACTTCACCAAGTACATGAATATACTAGACTCAGGTATGTTTAATAGTGATATTGTTTTTTATGATGCATTTGCATGTAACTTAACACTGGAGGTGTTTCATAAACCTGTGCGTAAAGTTACGAATGACTTTACAAATGATTTGAATATGAAGAGCCAAAGTTTTTCTGACATTTTAACAAAGTATGACTGTATTTCCGGTAACCTCGATTAAATTGTAGCCAAAAATACACTTTGCATAAAATTGTTTTGTTAATAATGATAAGGTTAATCTACATCTGCATAATTCAACTTTAGCTTATGCAATTAAAAGGATTTGAGAATCCCATTTAGCTCTTCATATTCAAGTCATTTGTAAAGTCATGCATAACTTTACGCACAGCTGTATGAAACACCCCCCTGTTTAGATACGACATGGTAAATTTGCCTTTGAACCTTGTGCTCATTTGCGGCATTAAACCGCACTTTAACAATTGGGACTTTAAGGGTAGTGCACTTCACATTTTTTTTTATCGTTGTAGTGCAATTTTGACAATCCCACTAGCCATTCATTTCATACACACACACAAAAAAACAACAACAAAAAAAAACACAAAACTGAGGTAGTTTACCATAGGATTAGTACACAGACGTAAGAACTGCCACGGCACACATTCTCTGTACAGAAAGAGGCAAAAAATTTAGGGTAGCAACTAATAATAGCTTGGTGCAATAACTTCTTCTACGCTTCACATACTTCTTGATATTCACGTATGAGGTATTAGATACAGAAATTCCAAGTGCAAACTACTTTATTTTGCTGTTACTTTTTATGCCTCCGCCACCGAAGGTGGTGCCGGAGGTGGTGCCGGAGGCATCATGTTTTCGGGTTGTCCGTCCGTACGTCCGTCCGTCCGTACGTCCGTCCGTCCGTACGTCCGTCCGTCCGTCCGTCCGTCCGTCCGTCCGTCCGTCCCGTTTGACCGTTATCGCAATATCTCAAGAACCATTTAAGATTTAAGCTTAAGACTCGGGAATAGTATTTATCACCATAGGAAGACGATCTGATTAGATTTTGGAGTACGTAGGTCAAAGGTCACAGGTCACAGAGGTCAACTTATGAAATTCCTTGTATTGAGTTTGTTAGCACGATATCTCAAGAACCATTTGAGATTTAAACTTCAAACTTAAGGATAGTATGTATCACCATAGGAAGACGATCTGATTAGATTTTGGAGCACGTATGTCAAAGGTCAAGGGTCACAGAGGTCAACTTATGAAATTCCATACATTGAGATTGTTATCATGATATCTCAAGAACCACTGGAGATTTAAACTTCAAACTTAGTGATAGTGTGTATCACTATAGGAAAACAATCTGATTACATTTTGGAGCACGTAGGTCAAAGGTCAAGGGTCATAGAGGTCAACTTATGAAATTCCATACATTGAGATTGTTATCATGATATCTCAAGAACCACTGGAGATGTAAAAACTTCAAACTTAAGGATAGTATGTATCACCATAGGAAGACGATCTGATTAGATTTTGGAGCACGTAGGTCAAAGGTCAAGGGTCACAGAGGTCAACTTATGAAATTCCATACATTGAGATTGTTATCATAATATCTCAAGAACCACTGGAGATTTAAACTTCAAACTTAATGATAGTGTGTATCACCATAGGAAGACAATCTGATTAGATTTTGGAGCACGTAGGTCAAAGGTCAAGGGTCACAGAGGTCAACTTATGAAATTCTATACATTGAGATCGTTATCGCGATATCTCAAGAACCACTGGAGAATTTTCACTTCAAACTTAATGATAGTATGTATCACCATTTCATAATATCTCAAGAACCACTGTAGATTTAAACTTCAAACTTAATGATAGTGTGTATCACCATAGGAAGACAATCTGATTAGATTTTGGAGCACGTAGGTCAAAGGTCAAGGGTCACAGAGGTCAACTTATGAATTCCATACATTGAGATTGTTATCATGATATCTCAAGAACCACTGGAGGTTTAAACTCCAAACTTGTTTAAATTGCTCTATGGCGGAGGCATCATCTTCGACTGCGCGCAGTCAAAATTCCATCTAGTTTTCTAACACTTCTTATCATCTCATGTCTGAATGAGCCCTGTGGTTTCCCTTGAATTTTTTTTGGTATTATTAGGGTTCATTCACACACAAGGTGATTAAGTCCAGTTTGGTAGTAAACTGCTCGAAAAAAACACAGCATTGCCAAATATCTTCAGTCACACTGCAAACTGACCCTAAACTGATGACAGACTGATTCTAAGGCCATTTACATGTAGATTATTTCATTTGGTTTGTTGTCAGTCTTGTTTTGGTCTCTCACGTTAGAATGGGGTATTAAGCTTGTTATTTCTTGCAGTCTTGTTTTATTGTTGTTTTTCTTTCGCATGTTTTTCAAGTTTCTTCAGCCAGAGTGGGCGTCGAGTTTAAAAAGGTTGAGAAGCGCTGGTTAGACCATGTTTTAAATAAAACCTCTTTTTTTTAAACTCAGGCCTTGGGTTTGCGGTTGATTTATGTTGCCCTTAGAAACTAGCCAACCTCACTATAGATAGTTGTTAGTAGAAAGTAGTGATTATCTATTGTCAACCCTACATTGCGTGCTACGTGTTGTGTTATCGTTCTTTCGCCCCTTTTGTTTCTGACCCCTACAACCTTTAAGACCATGCCACACTGAAAGCATGTGTGACACGAGCATGTATAGAAGAAAAGCTAATGCTGTACACATGCACGCGAGATGATGTACGTTTTCTCTTCAACTTACCTGCTAGTACCGATAATGGTAAGCCCTCTTTAGCTGCTCCTTTTTTACACCTCATTTACACCTTTTCTACACCTCATTTACACCTTTTCTATACCTTATTTACACCTTTTTAGCACCATCATTTCACTTCTACACCTTCTATACCTCTTTACCTCTTCTACACCTCATTACACTCATGTAGCACCTTCCCTACACTTCTACACCCTTTCTACTCATTATTTACAGTTTTTACACCCTTTCTCTATCATCTTACACTTTTCACACTTTTCATTACTGTGGTAACTTGGGAACTGTTGAATGGATTTTAACCAAACCTGTATGGAGTATGTATGAACATGCAAGGACAAACTGATTAAATGTTGGGTCCAAGATGTCAAAGGTGAAAGATCATATGGTCTTTAAAGTGTTAATAAATTCTCGAATATATCTTATTACTGTGTTAATTCCACAACAAATTGAAAATTAAACTAAAATTATTGAAAATATTATAGTGAAAGCAAATTTTTTTTTTTAAGGTCTGATATTAAAGGTCACAGGGATACTTGAACAATATGCCTCCACCTATAGGTATATGTTATAGTATTAATGACTGCTTTGAGAGAAATAGTTGTTTTATTACGCTCAAGGGAAGGTTAGAATTGTGCTATTCCCCGAGGCTTGCCGAGGGGAATAGCCCAATTGTAACCTTCCCGAGAGCGTATGAAAACAACTATTTCTCGAATATTAAAGCAGTCATTAATACTTTTATATGCCGAAAAAAAATAGACTAAAAAATAAAAAATAAAAAATACTTTTTTTTTTGGTCGAAGATGAGATTCGAACTCTTGCGTACAAAAGGTGATGTATCCAAAGTCAGCGCCTCAGACCTCTCGGCCATCGCGCGTTATTAACATGCATGGCAGTTTTGTACAATATATACATTAAAATGGATTGAAACCGGCTTCGCGTGTGATGAATGCTTCGCAAAAGCTCCATATACGGACTCTTCTTTTACTTTTGCAATGCATATTGGCACGAACTTAGATCAAGATCTATCGGCAGATGTTGTTTTTTTGTTTTTGAGAGTTAATTTTCGTCTTCATGTCAACAATGCAAGATAAAATTGTCGGTAAGATCGATCGAAATTCAATTGTATTGAAATTGCCGACCAATTTTTCGCACACGTATGGTATCCTCCATCGCTCAAACCATTTTTTAACATGTAAACCTATGGGGTAACCATGGAGACTGACCTATTTTTTTAATAACCATGGTTATTAAAAATATTGAAATGTTTTATGCATGGTTACCGGGAATTTTACAGGAACAGTTGAAGTTTATGAATGCAATTCGACCAATCAGATGGCTGGGTTTCTTAAGTGAGGTATATAAATGTATATATGTATAGGTGGAGGCATATTAGAGATGCAGTCTTATCATGTTTCATTTTTTTAAACACTTTTGTTTCTTGCTTTTTCTACACCTTTCTACGCCTTTTCACCCTTCACCCTTTTCACATGGTATACTTTTTCTAGTTTCTACACCAAACGGTTTTTACATACCACTTCATTCAGACTTAGCTGCACAACAAACTTTAAAAATAGTCTCCTACTTCTTCAAATTTTGTCCATCGCTGATAGATAAAATCTTCTTGCCTTCAAGCAGGCAGCATGGGTCATGGGGGTTTCTGAAAAGTTGACATGGCAGGTGCATAAATAAATTAGGTGTTTGTTAACAAAATTTGCAATTATGCATGGAAATGGTGATGGGTAAAACCTCTTTCTTCATGTGGTACAATTATCAAATAAATTATTCATACTCGTAAATGTTATGTTTTTTCGTATAAACTCAAGAATGAAAGATGGACTGGTTAAATTACATGTAGATCCTTTGTTGAATACTTTTAGATGTAACAGTAAGCAGTCTATATTTAAGGAAATATATATTGGGAAAAATCAGTTTCTCCACCTAATTAAAAAATTACAAAACTAGGTAGGGGTGTGAGTAATTTAGTTGTTAGCTGTTTGTGATGCCATGTGAAAGGTGATTCCATGCATTCCATCCCAAATGACATGCCTTTTATCCATTTACAGTCGCTGTGTCTTTTTTTTTTTTTTAAAGTAAAAATCCCTTGATGTAACAGGAGCCATTGACTAAATATTGATGACACTTAGAGAAAACCCACTACTCAAATGTCATATCAACAGAGTATTCATTAGCAGATGATGTAAAAGGTCTTATGTCGTATAAGACACATTGCATGGATCGACCTGAAGCAAAGGCTGAGCCCTGTTCCATAAAACTTATTCAATGGATGAAAGTCTTAAGACACATTGCACCAAATCACCCTGAAGCAAAAGCTGAGCCCTGTTCCATAAAACTTATTCAATGGATGAAAGTCTTAAGACACATCGCACCAAATCGCCCTGAAGCAAAGGCTGGGCCCTGTTCCTTAAAACTCATTTAGTGGATAAAAGTCTTATGTCATATAGGACACATCGCCCTGGAGCGAAGGCTGGGCCCTGTTCCTTCAAACTCATTCAATGGATAAAAGTCTTATGTCATATAGGACACATCGCCCTGGAGCGAAGGCTGGGCCCTGTTCCTTCAAACTCATTCAATTGATAAAAGTCTTATGTCATATAGGACACATTGCACCAAATCGCCCTGAAGCAAAGGCTGGGCCCTGTTCCTTAAAACTCATTCAATGGATGAAAGTCTTATGTCATATAGGACACATCGCCCTGGAGCGAAGGCTGGGCCCTGTTCCTTAAAACTCATTCAATGGATGAAAGTCTTATGTCATATAGGACACATCGCCCTGAAGCAAAGGCTGGGCCCTGTTCCTTAAAACTCATTCAATGGATGAAAGTCTTATGTCATATAGGACACATTGCACCAAATCGCCCTGAAACAAGGCTAGGCCCTGTTCCTTCAAACTCATTCAATGGATAAAAGTCTTATGTCATATAGGACACATTGCACTGAATCGCCCTGGAGCAAAGGCTGGGCCCTGTTCCTTAAAACTCATTCAATGGATGAAAGTCTTATGTCATATAGGACACATTGCGCCAAATCGCCCTGAAACAAAGGCTCGGCTCTGTTCCTTAAAACTCATTCAATGGATGAAAGTCTTATGTCATATAGGACACATTGCACCAAATCGCCCTGAAACAAGGCTAGGCCCTGTTCCTTCAAACTCATTCAATGGATAAAAGTCTTATGTCATATAGGACACATCGCACTGAATCGCTCTGGAGCAAAGGCTGGGCCCTGTTCCTTAAAACTCATTCAATGGATGAAAGTCTTATGTCATATAAGACACATCACACCAAATCGCCCTGAAACAAGGCTAGGCCCTGTTCCTTCAAACTCATTCAATGGATAAAAGTCTTATGTCATATAGGACACATCGCACTGAATCGCCCTGGAGCAAAGGCTGGGCCCTGTTCCACAAAACTTACTATTGTAGCTATTGAATAAGTTGTACTAATCCATAATACAAGTAAGCTAATGAAATCATTACCTTCAAATGTAACTGTAATCCTGACTGTTACGTCTTTTTTGTTTTTGTCACGAACTCAAGAAGCAGTCGATGTTCTGAATATCTTAAACTAGGTTTTGTATTTCATGAATTTTAAGTTTTGTATTTTATTAATTCAATTTGGTGCATGTTCAGAAATATTTATTGGATTTTGAAAGCATATAAGGTCTTTGTTTGGGGTCTTAATTTTAACATATTTTGTTTTGTTTAAATGCCTTTGACATTAATTTTTTGAGCCTTTCGCCATACATAAAGATTTTAAATTTGTTTTATCGGTTTCGCCTTGTTTCATATTTTTGTTTCCAATACAAATTGTTGTTATTTATTTTATTTATGTGTTATATGAATGTTTGACCTTTAGGTGACCTTAATAGAATGAGGGAGAAAGAGAGAGAGAGAGAGAGAGAGAGCGTGTATGTATAATGCAGAGGAGAAATCGCACCATATACTTTTTGTTCTTCTTTAGGTCACTATCATAGAGTGTGGCAAAGGAAGAAAAGAATACAAATATATTTCAGTCTTTACATTTGTCTGTTCTTTAAGGTGATTATCATAGAGAGAGTGTTAGGCAGAGGAAAGGAAAAGAAGGGAACAAATAAATTTCACTCTCTATATATTTCTTTTCTTCCTTTAGGTGAATTGTATGGACAAAATGTTAGGGAAAGGAAAGGAAGAAAAAAAAAAGAGATAACCAGTCTTTACATGCTTTTGTTCTTTTAGGTGACTATCACAAATAGAGTGTAAGGCAAAGGAAAGGAAGAAAAGAGAACAAATATATTCCAGTCTTTACATATTTCTGTTCTTCTTTTAGGTGACTATCATAGAGAGCATAAGCAAAGGAAAGGAAAAAATAGAAGAGATCATCAGTCTCTACGTGTTTTTGTTCTTCTTGTAGATGACTATCATAGACAAATTGTTAGGTAAATGAAAGGAAAAGAAGAGAACAAGGATAAATTTCATTCTTTACGTACTACTGTTCTTCTTTTTAGGAAAAAAAGTAGAGAACAAATAAATTTCACTTTGTACTTGTTTTGTTCTTCTTTTAGGTGACTATCATAGAGAAAGCATAAGGCAAAGGAAAGGGAAGGAAGATGGAGAGAAAGTAGAAGTGAAGCCATCCAAGGCATTGCTTAGGTTTACTAGTGGACCTTTAGCAGAGACGTTATGTGAACAGGCAGGAGAGAGGGGATACATGCAACTACAGGTAAGATAGGCTCTTTTACTCTCATTCTCTCTCCCCCCCCCCTCTCTCTCCTTATCTTTCTTTTTCGCTCTCTTTCTCTTCCTCTCTCTCTTGCTTTCTCTCTCTTTCTTGTTCTCTCTCTCTCTTTCGGTCTTCCGTTCTCTTTCTGTTTTTGTCTCACTTTCTATCACTCTGTCTCTGATTCTATCTTGCTTTCTTCCTCTCTCCATTTCTATTTTTCTCTTCCTCGCCATCTCCCTCTCTCACTTACTCTCTCTCTCTCTCTCTCTCTCTCTCTCTTGCTTACTCCCTCTCTCTTGTTCAGTCTCCCTTTCTCTTTTTTGTTTGCCCTTTCTGTTTCTGCCACACTTTCTCTGTTTCTGTCTTGCTTTCTTCCTCTATCTCTCTCTTTTCTGTCCTATTATGTCTCTCTCTTTCTCTCTCTCTCTTTCTCTCTCTCACTGTTTCTATCTTGCTTTTGCCCTTTCCCTCATTGTTGTTCTTATTGTTTAGATTATTATTTTAAGTACTTACTTGTAGTAGTAGTAGAAGTATCATTATAGCTATTATTCATACCATGATATCATCATCAGTATCATCATTGTTGTTATTAAGAATCGTCAATCATAACGCACAATCTAATCATTCCATTCGTATATTTACAGTTGAGTAATGTAGACCTCAATTTTGTCAAATCGTCTCTAACCAACCTGAGTTCACTCGTCCAGGATGAGATGGACTCTCTGCCCATGCTGCTAGACATTACAGTATTCAATACAGTAGTAGTAGTAGTAGTAGTAGTAGTAGAAGGATGCACAATCTACCGTAATAATTCTGTTTTTATATATTTACAGTTGAATGATGTAGACCTAAACTTTGTCAAGTCGTCTTTGACCAACCTGAGTTCACTCGTTCAGGATGAGATGGACTCTCTGCCCATGCCGCTAGACATCACAGTATTCAACACAGCAGTTACGTTACAGGTTAGTTTTACACCTACATATTTTTTTATAGAAAGTATGAGTATAATGATAATAATACAGTGAAACCTTGTCTATAAAGACCACCTAATGGAGATCAAAAAAAGTGGTCTTTAAAGGCAGGTTGTCTCTATGTACAGGTTCCTTTAGTGCATTTTCAAGGGTAACAAAAAATGTGATCTTTGTAGACAGATGGTCTTTTTATACAGGTGGTCACCAAAGCAGTTTTGACTGTAATAATGACTAACTGGTGCCTGGGAAACGTGGGTGCCTAAAATCTAAGTATGGACCCACAAAATGTCAATATTTTAAACATAGGGCTCGTGCATACTGACTTAGGTTAATTCAAAATATTTAGCCTGCAGCCCTGTCTACAAGAAAAATGCAGTTATAACAGACTGCCGCTCCCCCTTTTTGAAGAAGATAGTTACACATGGAGCTTTTTTGTGGGTCTTTTGAATTCTTTTGTATTTTGAATAAACAAAATACTTTAATAGTCTGGAGCACTGCCTTCAAGAAAAATGCAGTAATAATTGCCCCCTCCCTCTTTTTGAAGAAGAAAATTGCACATAGAGCTATTTTATTTTGTTTGTCTTCTGAATTCTTTTCCCTTTCACTTTGTTACAGGACGATGCTCCTCTGGTCTACCCTGATACGGTCGCAAGCCCTCCCCTTCAGCTGAGGATACCATCGGTTAGAGTACATCGATCACCCGATGGTGCTTTCCATGTCAAAGGTAATGGCTAACTGGCTAATGATTCCAGGGCACTTTGTCTGGCAACGTTACTCTGGGTTTTATTTAGTTCAAGATTACAAGTAAGGGAAGGGTTGCAATTGCAGGGTTATAGGTGTAGGGTTGGGGATATTATTGGGTTCCAAGTTTGAAGTTTGGGAACTGGTTAGTGGTAGGGTCGAAAGTTATAGGTTTAGATTTTGGTGTAGGGTTAGCTGTAGGGTATGCATGTACATGTTTATTGGGTCCAGAGTTGAAGTTTGGAAGTGGTTAGGGTTAGAAATGGATCTCTGAGTAATTGTCACCAAATTGCATGTGTCAGAGAATACATTGGGTTTTATTTGTGTGCTTTATTTTGTCAAAGCTAATGGGGCACGGGAACTGAATTGGTTTAGGGTTGTAGTGTTACCTATGTACTGGTATATTCTTATAAGGCCATATCAATGTTATCTAGCCATGTGATTTTTTCGTTTATTTAGAAGTATTGTAGGGTTACAATCATAAATTCACATCAGGCCATTTCACTTCATATTTTGGTCCAATCTAAGCTCTAACAGGGCTATTAATTTATAACAATGATCAGATATAGTTAAATCTTACTTATTCTTGGTTATGTAGGAGACATTATAGCTTGCACATGACCTTAAATTAAGTACTTCACCCTTAAGGCAACTGGTAAAACAGTTTGAATTCATTTCTCGTTACCAGGCATCCATCCCCAGGGCATCAGCTTAAAATCTACCGAACACACCGATCCTCCATCAACCACACACCCCAGCGACCACACCCACACAACCACACCGCCCCAAGATGCGGCCGCCAATGAGACGCTCAGCGATGAGAACGCGAACCTCCGCAGCCGGATGGCTCTGATGAAGGACGCCCTCGCGGTGCTGGAGAGGGAAAGGACCTCGCTGCTCTCGACGCTGGAGCACCTACAGGAGGAGCTCCTGACGGCGGATAGAGAGAGGGATAAACTGAAGGAGCATGTGGTGGAGCTGAGTAGGAGAGTCAACCTAGGAAGATGAGACTCCGTACGGTACTCTTGAGTTCTAGGGGATGTTTCACAAAGATCCTAAGTTAAACTTATCTCTTAGTTGGACTTAGCAGTTATGGAAAGCGGTCTGCATCTTTGAAAATATTTTGTAAAAGTTATTTTAAAAGGTATAAAATGTTGAATCAAATCATTTATATTTTCTATCATCAAGGAGATGTCATGTTCTTGATGTGGAATTTATGAAAAGTCTACAATAATAGAATTTTTGCTTTTGAATATATTTCATTATAAGGCTACAAATGGCTCTCCATAATATTTAAAGTCCAACCTACAGTTAAGTTCGAATTAGAATCTTTGTGAAACACCCCCCTGGTGATGAATCTATGTAGATTTATATGAACTTTTTCAGAACAGGATGTATATTCAGGGCTAAATTGATCACGTATTTTTCCTTACATCATTGTATATCAACTAACTTCTTTGAGGGTTTGATTTTAGCTGGTAATAAATATATGTTGATTTATTTGAATCTTTTCAGGACAGGATTTATATCTAGGCAAAATTAAATTTTTGTTCTGTTATTGCTACATTGTTAAAACAATATGTGATTGTTTTCATGAGAACAATATACATGGGCGTGAATATTGTTGTAAAGTTAGACAAAATGGCCAATTTTTATTGAAAAATAATGATCTTTAATCTCTCAATGTGTTGCTAATTTTCAAGATTTCAAAGCTTATTTTCCTTTTTAAAATCCCTTGCTTTTTTAAATTTTGTGAGAGATTCATTTTTACAGTAGACTAATGATTCAAGATAAGTGACACTAAAATATGGCTATTTGTAGTGAGAGTTTCTGTGATATAAAGAACCATTGTTTACATTTTTCCAAAAATCTCATGTTGCAAAAGTATCTGGTAGTACAGTAGTCAATATTGTAGTCAAGTATTATATTGAGTAAAGCTGGAGACCACCAGCCTTTTCCCCGATATGGACTACTTTCGACTTAGCCAGTTGACCCTCGGTTACTTTATCATCTGTTCCTGTGCTTTTAATCTGAGATATTTCACATTCTATATCAAATTTGTTCAGCAGATATTAGTATTTGTATCCTTTCAACAGTCGATGCCAATCATGTTGTACATGTACTTTGTAAGAATTTCATTTCTGCAATTACTATGTATTATTGAAATAATTTTTTGTTGTGGATAATTTTAAATAGAATCAAACTACCAGGAGTCAAGACTACCTAAATGAACCTTACAGTTAATATCCAAAGCAATAATTACTATGGTAGTAATGAGGAGACAAACGATCTAGTACTTCTAGAAAAAAAAATCAGAGATTATATATGAGAGTAGTGGAATGAAACATGGTTAGATCCACCAAGAGTTGGGTTTAGTTCTAGTTTTAAAGAAGGAGTCAATCGACCGTTGGCAATAATACTGTCAAGACATGTCAAGACAAGACGCAATAAGTCACAGTTTGTAGATAAATTGTAGTAATGAAAAAATAATCATCAAAAATAATTGGAAGGAAATGATGTGAGTCAGTTGGTCTGTTACTCTTGTTAGCAATCAAGTTGTATCCCTAGTCTATAGAAGAATCCATTACATTGTGTTATTTAACATGTAGACTTGGATAGAGAGAGGCAGCACTGACAAAGTGTCCCTATTACCCCATTTGTGGCTGTGTAATAATGATAATAATCCGTTCTTGTGTAGCGCATAACACTTTTATGATATAACGTTCCTATGCGCTTGCAAAGAGCTTTGGGAATTGTTACCCTAGCTTTAGCTCCGACAGCGGTTATCAGTGCACCATGCATTTCAAGGAATAATCCTACCAAGTACCCATTTACCTCTGACATATTTCAGCTTATTGTCCAAAGAGCTTTGGAAATTATTACCCTAGCTTTAGCTCCGGCAGCTTTTATCAGCGCATCATGCATTTCAAGGAATAATCCTACCAAGTACCCATTTACCTGTGTATGACATATTTCAGCTTATTGTCCAAAGAGCTTTGGAAATTATTACCCTAGCTTTAGCTCCGGCAGCGGTTATCAGCGCACCATGCATGTCAAGGAATAATCCTACCAAGTACCCATTTACCTCTGTATGATATATCTCAGCTTATTGTCTAATTATTGATATCCACTCTATACCTACATGTACCGGTACATCGATATCAGCATTATTCACACCTTCTGATATTTATGTTGCAATTTGTGGTTGTTCATTGAGGATCATTTTAGTGCTCGTTTCAATTTCGTAAATATCAACCATTGGTCATTCTTGTGTGGATGTCCGAATGATTTCATTCCCCCAAAGAGTAAGCCATTTATAGTCCCGTGTACAGAGAGGCTACAACAAAGAATTCTAATTTGCCACAGCAGAGGCAATCTGTTCCAAAACTCTCATATAAACATGTTTATTTCCTGGTCTATGTAATCTTTCTCAAGTGGATCTGCATTTCCCTTAATGGTCTCAACTTTATTTCTGTTATGGTTAGGTTTATATATTAGGAAGATGGTGTCCAAAGAAAAGCAGAGAAAAGAAGAGAATGTTTTTATAGAGATTTCACTGTACAAGTATAATATCTTATAGCTTCATGGTACTACATACAGGTGATGAAGGGTCATTGTATGACTAGAAATTACATAACCACTTGGACTATGGACAATGCAATTTCTGTATCAGTCAATAAGCATAGCACATCGGCAATCGTGCACATGGCATGTAAAGAGTTAAAAGTGCAAACAGGTTAAGTGCTGTAAAGTTCATTTTCAAAGCAGATTGTTCTATATGTTGATGTCCATTTTTGTACACCACTTATTTTTGTTGTATTTCTTTGTTGAGCAGTATTATCATTTTGAATCGTTGTTGCTTCTTGTGTGATTATGTTGATCAAAATGCTTGGCCTTATTTTGTTACGTTGCAAACAGCTGCAGCTCAAAAGCAATAACTTTTGATGAAAGCTCTTTCAATTGCCACAAAAATCAGATTTAATAGATTGTACATTAGCAAAATTTACTTTTTTAGAAATATTTCATTTCAATTTTTTTCTTTTGGGTTTTTCGCAATATAAATACAGTATGTACAACATTTTTATAATTTCTTTTAGTCAATTTGTATTCATTACTTTACTTTATTGATCACATTTGGATGGGGAGAGGGGGGTGGGGGGGGGGGAGTCAAATTTACCGCTCTACATGAAACGTACATTCTTAAATGAGCTTAGTTTGATTTAAAATTTGTTATAAAAAGTACAATTGAAATGAACGGGCTTTTCATTTTACATTTAGCTCCAGTGAATTTGTTTTTAATTGATTTGTGTTTTTCTTATCCTCTCTACTTTTTAAGAATGTGCTAAGAATATATTTGTATACCTTTATCTGCTTTATACTGTATACATGTGTTATTTTAAAAAGTACATGGTTGCAAATACATGTATATCTAATTATATGTGTTTCATAAGAAAATAGATGGCAAGGTACATACATATCTATTTAAAAAGTGTTGTTTGTTTTTGATCAGAAAACCGTTTTGTTTATTTCAAACAAATTTGATTTATTTCACTGATCTTGTATGATATAGAAATCACAGAATTATGCAAAAGAAATTATTTGAATGATTTTGCCAAGATGTATTTTGTGGAAATGATTCTATGTTATAAGTCTAATGGCAAAATCTGTGGCAAGTGTCTACATGTACCACTTAATTGCTAAGACTCTGTCACAATACTGCTGTGAAAATTATGAAGCAATTGATAAAAAAGAGATTATAAAAATAATATGGATATATCATGAAATCTATCTTAGTAATCCTTGGTGAACGTGCAATAGGACAGCAACTCCCATCAAAGTCATTTTATGATTTTATATCAGTATTTAATTCTTTATATGCTTATTTTCATATTTTCTCCTTTGTTAATTTGAGGTCTATAAGTAGAAAATTGATTATATTGCTCTGTATAATAGCTACTGCAATTTTGTTTTGTTATGTTTTGTGTGTTTTTAAAATTTGAATATACTTCATGTTTTGTATCGATAGTTATTGTGGAAGAAGTAATACAAGAACGTAGGACATCCAAGGGCATCTATTTCTTCAAAATTGGCAATGCGGACAGCACATATATTCAATCTAGTTCTTACTAATCAAGCTTTTCTTTTTATTTTGTGCCAAAGGTTTTTGAGTCTTCCCTAGTCATTAAGAAACGATTTTGGTTCCAGTTTGAATCCTACATTTCCCCAAAAATAGGTATTTCAGGCTAGATGTTTACAATGATGATATTGATTGAGATATATTTTGGATTTTTATTTTTGCTTATATGCTTAATAGTTTGTTTGCTTTACTCGACTGCTAAGAAAGCATGTGTGTGCATGTAAGTACTGTAAGTAACCAGGGGACTGACAGCTGTAGGTCCTCTCTGAGGGATTTGGTAATGAGGGTTAATGCCTTACCAAAGGGCACTAGCGTTGTGACTTGGTTTTGAACCCGGGAAACCCGACTGCGAGATCCCTGCTCTAGCTACCACTGAGCCATAGCGCATTGAAAAATGGCTTTGTGAAACCGGTCCCTGGTTTTGAATACCAATAGACATGACATTTCTTCAAGTCGGTACAACAAAACTTTCCTTTTCCTTTCTTTTTGTAGCTGAGATCAGTGCATAGGCAGGGGCTGATATGACAACCCCCTCTCTACCATAGGAGCTTCAATTAAATGCAACCTTGTGGTACAGTAATCAAAGGCTGTGGATACCAAATCTTGTGTACGGTAATGAAATATGTGTGTGAAGAAATGTATTAAAGACAGATAAAAGGGTAATTTGGTGATAATAAATTATGAAGTAATCCTTTGTGAAGCTCGTACTTTTATCCTATAGATATTTCATATTCATACTCACAGAATGTGGTGTGAGTATGAGGTACAGTTTCATATATACAGTTACATGGAGGGCCTTAATTCTTTTGGTAGTTTTCATATTAAGAACAACCCTTTTTCGTGGATTCTATTGGCTATTTACACACTTTCCTGTAGTTGAAAAGTCTACCCTGAAATACTTTTGTAATAAGCCGTCCCATGTATCACTGATTTTGTAATAACCTTTTATATTTGATGTTCAAAATAACTATGTTTGGTTCAGGTAATTAGCAATTGGACACACAGTTTTGATGTTAAGTACAATGTATGCATATTGATCTGATGG